GGTTGTTAAGCTCCAAACAATGGTCACTCAGTTAGGCTCTTCCTCTGTTTTAAAATCAGGATGGCAGTAATAGCTGGCTCTATCCGGTGTGATCACACTTCATTGTTGAATTTGATCTGACCTGACCTGAGATCTGACCACCACGACACACAATCATCACTAATATTGTCTTTCAAAATAATTCATTTTTGAGAAAGACATTTTGGAAAGGTTTTTGAGCAGGGATGTTTAGCATGGTAAAGCGTGAGTTATGATGTTAGAGGAAGTGAAGCTTCATGTCCTCCTTTACCCTTTGCTGAGCATCGTCTTATGGCAGATCAGAATGTTACTCTTACTGTCTTTTTAATTTCGTAATAAAAAAGGATGTATGGTTTTTTGGTTTACATAAAATAATCTGAAAAAAATCTTAATCTGGTCTCTGTTTTATCTTGGTCTGTCTTATCTCATGGTCTCAGCCTTGGTCTTGATTCTCACTGTTAGAGTCAGAGAAACTTAGCGGGAGAAAGCTAACGACCAACTGGAAGCCATAATAGCACGTAACAGATCTAGCAAGGCTCCTCCTCTGTTTTTGTTTTGTTAGTCCAACTGACTGTCACAGAGAGATGTCAGCCAAGCTTGCACGTTAGCATATTAGGAACATAGCCAGACATTTCCATACATTTCCAGACATTTCCCTAAGCAGCTGTTTTTAAGCAGTGTTTTATGTTAGTCCCCTGGGACTTTACAGTTACACAGTTCTGTCAAAGGAGCCAACAAGTCTATAAGTGCTCATTCTCAAAGTAAACAGTAAAGGCCCTCAATGGGAAAACACACTCCTTTTAATCTTATATCAAAACAGAAATGCTCCAGTAATATTTGATACTTTTGGAAAAATCCAGTCCTGTGTGTTTTGTTAGTAAGAAGGCATGATGATAGAATTAAATATTCTATTATGGTAAATTTGCTATGAGCTTGAAATGATTTCACTGCACCAGCAGAGGCCCTCAGTGACTAATAAGCTCAAACATATGATTAAAACAGTCCCTCTTGTATTGAAAACCAATTTTGCAGTGCTTACTTACATTATATATAAGACATACAATATACACATTTTATATTTTGCTATATATCAACAACATATTGGAGTGTTTTTCTTTACCGTGTCCTACCAAAACTGACAGGCTTACAGTAAAAACAGTCAATACAATGGAAAAAGTAAGTTCTGCAGATACAGTTTATGCTGCACAGCAGTTCAAAAGTGTACATCAACACATTCCAAACTACAAGACACTAAAGACCACCAGAATGCCATGTGTGTGTGTTCCCTGAATACACATCCAGTAATAAAGTGAATAAGAAGCTTACTTTCTTTAAAGCAAAAACATTCAAAGGCCCCAAAATGTGGCCTCAATTTATTCGAATGGCCCCCAATAGGTTAAGGCAAACTTGATAGATATTAGTAAAATGCAAAGTAAATGCACAAGAAGCAGCTATGAAGCATTTACAGTGAGTCCAAGTAAAGTGTTACCCAAACCTTTACTGACAGTAAATATTAGCTTTACAACTTATTTTACAAGGAATGGCAAAGAGCTAAACTCCCACAATTACCTTTCTTTTCTGTGTTTGAAGAAGAGACTGATGTCAAATAATAACAGACTAAACTTACTGTTGTACTCAAGATTAGTAGTGTAGCTCGATTAGCTGATTAGCTGTCTTGTTAGCTTGATAGCTGACGGTGGGTAGCCCAAACATGAAATAAGCATTTTTTGGCTATTTTTTTATTGCAGAATTTGAAAATGCAAATCTTGCTGTGTTAACTTATAAAGTTATTATGGAGATACAAGGTTTTGTTACAACAGTGAAAATATGTCAAGCGATTCTTACATTTGTCTTAAGAGTGTGAAAATATGAACAAACACACTCATTCTGTAGCTGCTAGCATACATGCTAATGACGTTATGCTAAAAATAGCAATCAGCACATTTAAAAATACATACTAGTTCATATACATTTCACTTAGTGGCCATCTAATTGGGATTTATCCTCACCTGGAGGTGTGAAGAAATTGAAATATTGTGTTTTCATAAGTTTCAATAGTGCTACCATCAACTGCAAGATAGAGAACTTCCAACTGAAGACAGACAGCTGAGCTCAAATAAACTCACAGCTCTTAGCTGCCATATAAAGATGGTGAACTTTTGTAAACTTTTTTTTTTGAATGTGAACTTGTTGACTGTTAAAGGATAGATCTACCAATTTAAGAAGTGTATGCAAAATACTGGTTTCAGACATTGCTACAGAACTTAGAGTTCACATACTTCAGATCATGCTCTTTATCTGAGTTCATCAAGACATGCACAGAAAACGAGAACCTACAGGCATTGCTTAAAATCATTGTTTATAGGAAAAAATCAAATGCGTTTACGCAAACAAATTACATGATCTTTCAAATAATGTCCAAAAGTAACATAATCAAAACCAATTTTGTTAGGAAATGGTTTAAAAAAACATTGATTGGGAAAATGTTAAAGACAAGTGCAGACAGATGCATGCATGACGTTTCATGAGAAAAATGCTGCACAGCAGATATTTGGATGTGTATTTGGACAATCACCTGTGGGCTTAGGCATTTGCATAAATATTTTCATAGTCCTCACCATCTCTGTGAGAAAAAATGAAAAAAAGGAAGGAAGATGTTAATAAATAAATACATATAATGAATAGATAACTTAGCAATACAGAATACATATGATCTGAATTATGACTCATCACATATAAACATATATATGATCTGTGTTTAAATGGATTGTATGCAAATACCACAAAAGTCCTTACTTTCCAAAATGCACACTTTTTGAAACATTCATTTGTTGCGAGGTGTCCACAGGTTCAGATGACCCTGAGTAAAACATTTCAGATTAGTCTGATGACAAAGTGGTGTTAAAAAGTCATTAAATCACTTACCAAGAATTAGTAAACGATTTAGTTCCAACACAGTTTAACTAAATTCCATTAAAATGCCCAAAGTTCTGTGTACTAAATTACACTGAAATTCCCAACAGGTTCTAAATATTAAGCTAAATTAAAGGACATAGTAAAATATTATTTGGAATCACAAGGTAGTAAGTACCAGGTAGTTATACAGGACAAAAGGCAGTATAAAGAAACTTGAGGACATAAGGGGGTTGCAAACTTGTTTAGCTTTTCTTAGGTTATAGAAGTGTGTAATAAAACTTTGGCCCTGCCAGCAGGGCCTGGCCATGTAATGTGACATTACAGTGAAATTTAGCAAGTTTGTTTATACCACTTTGTTACGTTATCTAATCATCCAATTATAAGATATTTTTCAGTTTTATATCTAGAAACTGTTGGACATTTCAGTGTAATTTAGCTAGACCATCTTGGTACTTTCCATCATGTTACCCAAAATAATTTCCTAGTACTTTGGAATGTGTGTTTCATACTTACCTGGTTAATATTTAAGTCTTAAAGAAATGTAAAAGAACGGTTTGATTCCACCTTGAGAAGTGCTCCTTATTAAATGCTAGGGCAGGAAAGCACATACACAGCACTGAACTCTCAGGGGAGGTCACCACTAGCCACGCACCTCACCCTGACAGTGCCACACAATTCACACTAAGTTAACCCACTTCCTGATACAGAACAACACAATAAACATATACAATATACCTTTAACATACACAACACAAATACTCTTTTTTCCAGGGGGTGCATGCCACCTATGATCCTCCTGGCATGGCCATCAGCACAGCCATATCTCAGGAGCTTTTAGATGCCAACCAGCAGGGGTGTAAAAAGTACTGAAAATCCCTACTTAAGTACAAGTACTGTTACTGTAGTGATAATTTACTCAAGTACAAGTAAAAGTATTAGTAAATAAAACTACTCAAGTAAGAGTAAATAAGTAGTTTATTGAAAAACTACTTAAATATTCAAGTTACTTGGTTACTTTTTCATATTACTGAGCTGACTTGGCTACATCACTGGAAATAATCTGTACAGAAAAACACTAAAGCAAAACATAATATTATGTGTGTGGGGTGGTGTTGGTGTTGGTGGTGGTATGATTTCACCATGAAAGGTGTGCTCTTTATTAAATGTCAGGGCAGGACAGCATATACACAGCACTGAACTCACAGGGAAAGGGACCACTAGCCATACACTTAACCCTGTAAACACTGTAAAAAATGGCTCATTAGATCTACCTAAAAAAATTACTTCATGTGGTAACAAGTAAATTACCTAGTTTTATTTAACCTAAATAAATACTTTGAATGAATGATTTCAATCAATGTAATTTTTTAAGCAGAATAAAACTAGTTCAGTTGCTTGTTACCACATGGAGTAATTTTTTAGGTAGATCTGACGAGCCACTTTTTACAGTGTAAGTGAACCCACTTCCTGATGCAGAACAAACCCAATAAATGCATACTATATACCTTTAACATACACAACACAAATAATCTTTTTTGCACGCCTCCTATGATCCTCCTGGCATGGCCATCAGCACGGCCATGCCTCAGGAGCTTCTAGATGCCAACCAGTAGCAGTTCACTACAATATTATTCCCTGTTTTAATTTATCAGTGTTCTCTTTCACTACAAACTCCCTTTTAACCCAAAAAAATCTGTTTTATCCACTTAGGCAGTTAATATCTAGAACATGTTAGACATTTCAGTAAAATTTACTGAGCTGGTGATTGCGGGAGCATTGAAAGAGTATTCAAAGAGAACTCAGTCAAAACTTGTTGAAGGACGTGTCTTATGAGGATGTAAGAGAATGATCTAATATTGTCATCATATCTTCATCAGTATAATGCTGATTCTGCATAACTTCTAGCCAGATTTTCTTTTGCCTAAAGATGTATGACATCTGAAAAACTCTGGAAAAATCCGACCCAACTGATAAATTATTAACACCATGTTTTAGCATTATTTGTGTTTTTCTCACGCTAATTCTGGTAATTTAAAAAATTTTACATAGCGCAGTTTCAAAGGACTTTAAAAGTGAGCAATACCAGTCAGTAGATGGACCAAACGTTTAATTGTAAACAAATGATGGGTCTGTTCCTTACCTTTCTTGTACAACACTGCCAGAGTGACCAAAAAAAGAATGAAGAAAACTCCAGAAAGAATCACAAAGGCTATGAGCAGCACTGAAGGGATCTGCTGCTGTTGCTCCTGAGCTCCTCTGTAGTAAATTGAAAGATGCTGCGTTCCATTCTTCCCATGTATCTGGCAGGTGTAGTTGGTGTTGGGCAGATTTGCAGGAATAGAGGACGATGCTCCTGCAAAGCCACTTTGAACAGACACCAGAGAGGCATTCGCGTTGTCTGGAATGATCCACATCACCGTTGGAGGAGGTGTTCCTTTAACATCACATGTAACAAACTGCTCTCCTGATGGAAGTGTTTGTATGTAGATTCTCTCTAGTGCTTGAGTCACTGCCAGGAAAAACAAGAACAACAAAAACATCTTGTTTGCCTATTAGTGGCATGGGATCATTTTCAAACCTTAATTCATAACATACCTCACTGCTATGGTTTTTTTGTTTATCACAGTTTGCTTTGAACATCTTCATACTGCATATAAAATTGACATTAATTTTAGGTATAAAAAGACAGAACCAAATTATATGTTCACCTTGCACGTTTAGGGTGGTCCCTGTAACAGTTCCATATTGGTCTTGTTTGTTACTCAACTCAACACGACAGAAATACTTTTCTGCATCTGAAAATGAGATGTTTTTAATCTTCAGTGAGATGTTGTTTCTTCTTGGGTCTCCAGATAATGAGTAACGTCCAGTAGACTGTATGCAGTTCTGTCCACTTTCTGATGGATTTCCTTTGCTCACGCAACGGAAAATTAATAGTCCATTGTATTGGCATTTCATTCGCCAAATCACTGTTATAATATTCTGGTAGTCTGTGTATGGAGTTGTAAAAGTGCATGGGATGATGGCATCTTGACCAATGGTTTGGTTGACAGCTTTAGGTACAGTCATTGACCACTTATCAGCAGCCAGAAGACCTAACATAACAAGAAAGTAAAGTTCATCTTAGCATGTCAAATCTCCAAAATGGTACCTTTACAAGAAAAAGGCAAAAACATTCACTTTTAATGTAATTTAATGTAAATTGATTTCATTCCAAGTAATGTTGGACCATATCTGTGGGTCCCTTCATGGTGAAAGTTTCACACAATGTAAAGCATTCACAAGTATTCATTGTGTAGCCGAGTATTCAGAGGTAAATAAAAAGAAACAAAAAGAATTAAAAATGATGTAAAGCAGTAAAATGATAACATAGAAGGTAGCCCTGCAAAACAATTAAATCCAGAGATAAACAGTAAGATAAAATCTGTGTATCATTAAAAATTTAAGGTAGATCTAAAAAACTTAAATATCCTACCTGGAGAGCCACATAAAAAGAAAACCATTTGGATGAGCTCCATCTTCGCCTAGCTCAATTCTCACAAACGCACATCTGATGTTGGTTGTTAAGCTCCAAACAATGGTCCCTCAATCAGGCTCCTCCTCTACTTTAAAATCAGGATGGCAGTAATAACTTATTCTATCCAGTGTGATCACACTTCATCGTTGAATTAGCACCATCACAGCTACACTCTTACTGATCTGACCACCACAATACACAACTATCACTAATATTGTCTTTCAAATGATTTATTTTTGAGAAAGAAATTTTGAGCAGGGATGTTTAGCATGGTAAAGCGTAAGTTATGATGTTAGAGGAAGTGGAGCTTCATGTCCTCCTTTACCCTTCGCTGAATGGGTGGAGGCCTCGCAGACCGCAATCTACTGAGGTGTGAATGTTAATGACAGAAATTCACCATCAAGCAAATGTTGTACTGTGGAGAATAGAGTAGAATAAAGAAACATAGAAACCAATACAACTACACAATTTATGATCTGAGGGAGCATCCCAGCAAACAGGGGCTGTGTTGGGACTTGTTTTCAAACCAGATGTTACATGATGTAGACCAGCCCACCCCAAACTCTTAACCCCTACGTCCAGGGCCCACCAGCAGGCCCAAAGTTTTATTACACACTTCTATAACCTAAGAATAGCTCAAAAAGTTTGCATTGAGGTCCCCGTAGTTACTGAATAATAAGCCTTTGCATCTACTAAGCTTGGCATTTTCATAGGGTAACTGTATCGCTGCCTTATTTCCTTATAAAAAACCACTTGCTAAAATCACCTGATTCGTTTATGAAAATCACTACATCGGTAATGCTACATTATTACTCATGCATGAGTTTATATGCTAGCTCACAGTAAACAGCCCAAAACACTACAGCCCCACCAGTCATTCTCCCAACTCTCCCACAATTGTTTTCACTACTCTATCTCTATATTGTGTGTTTAACCTCTTTAAGCCTAATCCCAGGCTTATTCAGTAACTACAGGGACTTAAATGCAAACTGGTGGGGCTATTCTTAGGTTACAGTATTGCATAATAATGCTATGGTAATTTAAGGGGTTAGAAATGCATCTGTAGAGTTATCCATTCATACAATGTCAATGGTTATGTTTGGTCATTTAAAAGGTAAAAAATGGAACTGGTTTTTGATCATTTTTGAGCCAGACAAATTTTCTGAGTTATATGGGTTTATGGATTTTGGATCCCTGAAAATTGCCTCAGCCATTACATTCATACAGCCTTACAATCTTGTGTTTAATGTAATTAACTGGGCAGCAACACTTGTTGACTAGAGAATGACAAACTTTAAATCAGTGCACAGAGGCCTTCATCAGGGTTAAAAGAAAATGGAACCAGTATAGTTTAAATACACAAAAAAGCAAGAACCTTTGTTAAAAATCAACCAATAAGATAACTGCAACACCTATAACCTGATGTTTATATTAGAAGACTCAAACCAAGAGAAACATTCAAACTTTCAAATTCTTAACAACCAGTGACTTTACAGGTAAAATCTTACCATATAGTCACCATTAACCTGCAACAAACAAAACTCAAAACCATAAAGGAGCAATATGTCCAACCTGTCGAATTCATACTCCACACGACAAACAAATAGGGGGCAACATATCGCCAAAATGTCGTAGTGCCCACCCACTCCTCCCCCCCTTACCAGTCTAGAAGAAGTGCTATGAGTTCAGCGTCAAACTTCATCCCTTTACTTGCTTGTTACTCATTTTACTTCAATTTATGTCACTTTTCCGGGCCGGGGTAGCTGGTTAGCATGCTAACTTAAGTAGATATCTCTGCAACATGATACATAGATGCCTGTGACATAATGTCAAAAATGTTATGTCTTCACATTCTGATGATAATTTAAGTTAATTTTGGAATTTTTTTAACTAAAATCTTAGAAATTGCACCTTTGAAGAGACTCCAAATGTAAAACCCTCATTCATCCTTCCAGGGAATAAACTTTTAAGGCTAAAAAATCCAAAAAGGCTTTTTTTCCCCCAAAATGATCACATTTTTAGTTTTACTTGGGATAAAAAAACTTAGATCCACTGTATGTTTATGCACCAGGTAGCTAAAAGGTTTTATGTTTTTAGTTGATTGACAATTGATGCAATTTCCAACAGGAATTGTACCCGAAAGATTACTTAACGAAATCTACTTTGATAGGCAAGCTCTAACCACTATGTTTGATATTGTTTGATAGCTTTAAAATGATCAGTGGTAGATCTTTAAATTCATCTTTTATAAATAGGCCAATCTGAAGAACATGGCGATACTTTAAAACCGCTTTTCTGATGTTGACAGTTTTAACAGTGTAGGTAGCGTGGTAGATCAAGACCTGCGCTGTAAAAATATGGTAATTATGGTAAAATACAGGTTTCTTAGTTTACAGTTACTTCACAGGGATTGCAAAAGTTTGGGGATGAAGAGTGGTGCATTGGTTTACAAGAACATACCAGACAATGCAATTCACAGAAATTTACTGGAGGCAAAGTTCTGTTTGTACCTTTTCTACAGTCCTAGAACTGCCCCTGCTTTTTGAGGAAATTCAAATATAGAACCTGACTGTGGTTCAAGATATGTAGCTTCACTTCCTATTATGATTTCAAGCAAGGGACACATCTTGAAGCTCCACCAGTGCTGCTTTCGTGTAGTTTGTAGTTTGTGGTCATGTTGAGCAGGTATACCAGATAACTAAATATAGACTCAGTATTTACGCACCAGTGAAGTATGTCACTACATGTAGACATTAGCAGAGCACAGACAGAACAAAACCGCAGCTGCAAGGTGTACAGTAGATAACTTATGTATTTATTTATTTTTTACCACAAACACTGACTGTTTTATTTTCAGTGACTGTAGAAACATTACATGGTGTATATGTTCAGCACAGTGGCAAAGTGGTAATGTTTTAATTAATGGGTTATTCCATGCTGACTCAGCTTGGGCCTAGCAGGTCCCTGAAAAAAAAACAATACAAAATTGCAAAATGTTTCTGCATAGTTATGACATAAATATATATGTATATATAACAATATATTGAGCTTAACTGCTTACAGAATGGTATGCTGGATAAAAATGAAACATTAAGAATAATGCACTAATGGCCAAAAGTATGTGGACACCCAGACCTCACATCCACATGAGGCATATAAACATCTCATTCTAAAACCAAAGGCATTAATATGCATTTCTTCTTTATTTCATAAAAGCACTAGATGTTCAAACATGGAGGCTGCAGGGAAGTGTGATTCATTACTCCAGAGAACATTTCCACTGCTCCATTGATAGCAGGTTTTACACCTTACCAGCCGATGCTTTACATTGCGCACAGTGATCTTAGGCTTGTGTGCAGCTGCTTGGCCATGGGAATCCATTCCATAATGCTTCTTCCAGAGACAGTTTGGAGAGAGGATAGGTGGGCTATATGCTTCAGCGTCTGGCAGCCCCATTCACTGAGATTCTTTGGTCTGCTGAGCTGTTGTTGCCGCTAGACACTTGTATTTCACTATAGTAGCACTTATAGTTTTACTTATAGTTGCCTAGGGCAGATCTAATAGGTCAGAGGTTTCATGAACTGATTTGTGGCAATGGTGGCAGCCTATTAATAAACAAAGCTGCAGAGAGTGGCATTGCTCATGTAAGGCTTAAGGTGTTAGCTTAAAAAGACAGTGCCCTCAGCCGAAAAACATCTACCTTATAAAGAGTGCATCCTCAGGTGAAACGAGTACATTCAATGTGTCCCTAAATGCTCTTGAACTATGCAGAGATCCTTTTACAATGTGAGCACCAATATCCACAGGGTCATCTTAGAAAGGTGATGCCATTTTAGAGTTTAGAGGTAGGATTTTATCAGCAGGTTAATGTTAAGTTAGCTCACTAACCCAGAAATCCTGCTTCTTAGTACACTTTTTTATTTTCCACTTCCCAGTCACTTTGAATGATTTTTGTACGTAGACATGAACTTAGTTCAAACTAGTGAAGTGAAAATAAAAAACAGAAGTGAGAGGGCAAGAGAGAGGGAGAGAAATACATAAGCAAAATGGGCCATATGAAAACCTGACAGTCCTAAATGCACATATATCATGAAGGGTTAGACATATTTCAAAATACACACCAATCAGCCATGATATTAAAACCATTTCCTTGTTTCTAAAATCCTTGTCTATATTACTTACCATAAGTGCACTTTGTGGTTCTACAATAGAGACTGAAGTCCACCTGTTTCTCAGCATACTTTATTAGTCACTTTTATCTTGATCTTCAGGTAAGGACTCTGACGTGGTGGTGGTGTGTTAGTGTGTGTTGTGCTGTGTCGATCAGACACAGTGCTGCTGGAGTTTTTAAACCCCTCAGTGTCACTGCTGGACTGAGAATAGTCCACCAACCAAAAATATCCAGCCAACAGTGTCCTATGAGCAATGATGAAGAACTAGAAGATGCCCAACACAAACTATGCAAGAGATGAGCTACAGTTTCTGGCTTTACATCTGTTACAACCCCACGTTTTGTCTAGGGTGCCGTAGGATCTGTAACATGTGGCGCTAAAATATTGAACTGGTGAAAATGGATTGGAAGCATGAGGAAGAGACCAATATAGAGCTTTTGAAGCCATTTTTATTAAAACAAACCTCAGTAACACCAGAGTGCTGTGATACCTAGTACTACATGGGAAGAATCAAACTGGACGGCACCAAAGAAAAGAACAAATCAAAACCTAACCACGCTTGCCTACTCAAACAAAAAGTATTTAGCTAATCTGAAAAAAGGAAACCAAAGGTAACTACTCTAAACTTCCCTAGCCAGCAACCAAAAGTACATGTGGTGGTGCCCACCCTCTGACCTAGGGGGCTAGACATCTATGTGGTGCGAATGTATAGGCACGCCCCTCTTACCTGTTTGAAACCCCAGGTGATACAAACAATCTCTTGTAAAAACAAAGTTAAAAGTGTGCAGGTAAAATACCACCACTAAAGTACTTCCCCTAACATAAATGACCAAATCAGATCTTCATATAAAAGCAGATCCTACAAAATAAATGTCATTTAACTGAATCAGATCCTTCACAAGAAAGCAGGTCCTACTGTTACGTGTCCGGCCTGGATAAGGGGTGTCTGGCCGGTATATGTCTCTCTCTCCCGCTCGCCCGTTCGTTCTCTCTCTTTTTCCCTCTCTGTTCTGTATGTCCCCTCCCTCGGTTTCTCCCTATCTCTGCTACAGGTTGGCTGCGGTGTCGGTCGTCGTTAGGGGCTTGACGTATACCACTTGACGGCAAATCATCATGCAGAGTTCCGGCCCTGGAGGAGGGACTTGAACTTTAAAAGCAGCCCGGCAAAGCTCGTGAGGAGGCTGGCGTTACCCCTGTGCTCCAAGCTGCTTAGGCCTGCTCCTAGTTGTAGTTGCTGTCGCAGACACAACAGCTTTCTGTTCTTTCTGCTCGTGCAGTTTTGGTGTATGTCTGCGATAGCTTTGTCTGTGTGTTTGTTCGGTTCACTTTAGCTTGTGTTTTTTTGCCTCGCACTGTTAATCACGCTAGCCTTGCTGTTAATGGCTGTCTGCCCTCTCTCTCTCCCTTTCTCTCTCTCATACGCTGCTTTGCCTTCTTGGGGTTCTGGACAGGTTAGATGGGCGCGCTCATACATTTTACATCACGTAGCTGCCCATTGTATAGATACCTTAGGAAAGGGGCGGGCGCCAACTCATGTATTTGTGTTATGCCGTAGGGAAGCCTAGAGTAGTTTTTTTTTTTGTCTACTAGGTGAGGATTTCAATTAAAGAGCTAGGGTTTTTTTTGTTGTTGTTTTGTTTGTTTTGTTAATTTCTTTCCTTTAGCGCCGTCCGGGTCCAGAATCCCGCTCTATTTGACAGCAAGCATATTTGCCAGTTTTTTTTCCTGTAAATATTACTGGAGGTCTCACTCGGGTCATAGCCTGAGTGTGCTTTGTCCTCTACCTCTGGCATGTAATAAACAAGAAAAGCAGCTATCCTATTTGTGTCTTGCTCCTTCCTGGTTCGTGCTGCAACCGTCACATTTAAGCCATATGTTACTGACCCCATTATCCCCTAGGCTTTCTTGCGGGGGTCGTAACACTAAACAAACATCACCTCACCGAATGAGGTCCCCCACATGAAGGATCCTATGAACAAATGTCAGATTAACTGACCGAATCAGGTCCTTCACATGAAAGACCCTATGAGAAAATACCAGGCAACCAAATCAGACCTGTTATATATTTAAGATCTCACAACAACAATAGATGGTTACTTCAATTTCCCATAACTAAGGCACTAAGTGTTTACTAGTATCAAAAAGTGGTTGAGTGAGAATCAAAATGGGGTCAGAAAAAGAAATGGAGGGAGAAGCAGAGTGACCAGCCATAGGAGGGAAAACTGTTTTATTGGAGGGAAGGCAAACTCCATCACCCTTATCTCCAAGTCACAGTTGAATCCCCTCTTGGTCTCCAGTTCCTTTGTATAGGGCCTTTTTTTTAAAAAAAACTTTGCCTGCCACATCTCTGGACTCAAAGAGACCAGCTCACACAAAGGCAAAGACACACCAGCCCAAGCACCACTGCCACAGGCTTCTCCAACTCTTCCACCTCCACAACAGTAGGGGGAGTCTGTACACCCTCCACCTCACTTGACAGAGCCAGACAGACCCACAGACAAAGCCAAGCTCAACCAACAAATCTAGAACAATGCCTTTATAAAACTCACAAAATGGGAATACTGAAGTGACCAGCTATTTTCACAAATCATCCTTCTAACAAACTAACAGCTTCACACACTAAGAAGCTCTAAAATCAAATGCAACAAGTTAGCATTAGCTTCTAGCTCATGCCAACACAAACTTTTTCATCTCGACTACACCAGCTCATTAAAATGCCAAATTATAAGGGATTAAACATCCTGGACAAGCCCCCTAATGTTATGACCCCACATTTTGTCTAGGGTGCTGTAGGATCAGTAACATGTGGCATTAAAATATTGAACTGGTAAAATACCCAAAACAAAGCACACTCAAAACAAGAGATTAAAAAGACCAACTAAAACAGCACACGCAATCAGTCCTCTCTCTCTCCCGCCATCTTGAAGGCCTCTTTTAAAACATAGGCTCCTCCCCCAACTGTACCAGCCAGGCCTCTGATTGGTTCTCCTCACATGACTGTTTGCAGAGCAGGTACCTCTGTGAAGGAAGAGACCAAGAGAGAGAGACACACAAACACAAAAAAACCCAAAATACGTGCTTACATGTAACACATCCACACAATGGAGCGACAAGGTAATAGAGGGGACAGTGAGTGGACACAGTGTTTAAAAACTCCAGCAGCACTGCTGTGTCTAATCCACTTGTACCACTGCAACACTCGCTAACACAACACCACCACATCAGTGTCAGTGCAGTGAATGAATTTTATTTGACATCGACAGCACGTTTTTCTTGAATTTATATGGGAAGATATGTTTACTATATGATACTTAGTGGTAACACTGTTGCAACTAACCCCTCCTGTATATTTAGCCTGGCTGATTTCTGTTACTTGTTTACATGCTTCAAAATGATACTGTATTACAGCCACTAAGAAAGTGAATAAAAAAAAATGTAGGTATGAATTTTGTGACTTATACTCATAACTCAGTAATCAAAAAACACTTCTGATGAAAAAAGTTTCTTTTATGGCACAAAAAACTTGAGGTGAATCTTGAGAATTATCTGTCTGATAGCTGTCAAAATGTACAGACAACATACCATTTTACATTTGATTGGTAGATTCCACATTATACACTGAATATATAGAATGTTATGAGCAGTTCCTGTAATTTGGTTTAGTAATTAGACTGTGGTTTTGCTGGGGTATTTCAGCTTGTGGTTAGGACTTTGTTTGGTGATTGTTCAGTGGCCACTAAGGTTTTGCTAGGCTGTTGCTATGATATCCCAGTAACTTTGCTGTAGAAGCCAAAAATGTTCGTAACTCTTAATGTAAGTTAATGTAAAGAGGTTTTATTTGAACTGATCTTGCAGCATTTCTATTTGTCAATTCATCATGATTGTTCCACACAATGTAAAGCACAGCAGCTGTGCTCGAATGAGAGATGGAGATACAAAGGTTTTTTAGAGAGTGACAACATATTGTAGAAGTGGAATGACTGCTTCATGATATTCAGCCTTCTGCTAATCATAGCTAAGGAAAGAAAGAGTTTTATGCAAAACTGTATGAATGCTGTAAGTTGAATCATATAAAAAAGCACAAGCAACCTGTTCAAGTAAAGGCAAAATCATGCAATGTTTCATGATTCTAGCATGAAAGCTATAGGAGTGGTGTTACAACTGTTTGACTGTAGAATAATAGTAATAAGAAGAAAATAAAGGACAGTAAGCAAGTTTTTTCAAGCCAAGTTAAAAACTTGGAGCATTGATTAAAGGTTAACATTTTAGAACTGTTTAATTTTGCATTTAATTTTATTAGTAAAGGGCAACATTCCAAAACAATATGCTCATTTACTTGCATTGAAATGATAAAGCAATTGGCTATAGCATAATAAAATAGCTGGTATAAAAGTTTATAATATGAAGTAATTTACATTTAAACTCATGATGTTTCACAGATCAATAATCCATCATATTATGAAAACTCACTTGAATAAAGAGCACATGCATACAAAAATGACAATAGTATAAAAGAATCTATTACAATTCCACAACATTGTCAAAGCAAAACAGGGAGAAAAATATTCGGCTCTCAAATATCTAAACAAAGTTGGGCACTACTTAGTGATGAATTCCTATCCTCCTTCAAATGGCACCAAGTGTGACTGATTTAAAAGGCAGATTTAAGAGTCAAAAAGACTCATGTGCTTAAAACATTCATGCATTTAATTCAAAACCCCTATCAAAACGCCTATCAGTTTATTTTCGTTTTACGTTTTGAAAACATCTGTGGTTGAAATGGCAGAAGCCAGAGTGCCTTTTGACTCAGTTCGCAAGAACATTTGAAAAACCACAAACATGTTACTTATGCCTTAGTGGCCTTGACATACAATACATACATACACTTCACAGAGTATTTTAGTTAAGAAAAAATAAAACATAACACAAAATAGTGGAAAAACCTGGAAAAAGACAAATGATGTTTTATAATAAGAAATACTGCACTGTAATTATTTGGATGCCACAGGTCACGAAGGCCTAAACATTTGCATAAATTTCCTCATCTCTGTGGGGAAAAATGAGAAATAGAGGACATTAAAGCACAAATACAAATGAATGCATAAATTGCTATTTAAATGGTAGTGTGCAAATGCTGATGTAGTCCTTACTTTTCAGAAGACTTGGTTTTCCTAATGTCCATGTGTGTTGCAGTGTCCACAGGCTTAGCCAACCCTGACAAATACAAAAACAGTACAAAAAACAAGAAATGTAATATCTTATGAACCTCATTGCTTTATGAAAAAAATAAACCTATTCTGAAACCGATGCCTGCAACAAAGGACCATCTAGATTGTGACAAGCGTAAGGTTCAAAAGCCAGCGTCTGTCATTGCGGAATATTGGTGGATAACCTGCACATTTGTGAAGGCACCATTAATGCTGAGAACATTTTCGAGCAGTACTTGCTGCCTCCTAGACAACGTCTTTTTCAAGATCAAAATGGTCAAGTTGTTCATATTTCTGTGTTAGAAAAAAAAGCAGGAAACATATTTCAAACAATTATGAAAAGATTCCTAACAGGCATGCACAGCCAGGTAGACCACTAAATCAGTCAGCATCAGATAAACATGGCTTCAAGCTTTCATCTTTTATAGACAATTAAGCTCCACTCTTGCTTCAGATCTAAAAAAATCCACAGGTGCTTCTGTCCATCCTTCCACTGTGAGAAGACAACTCAACACTATGAGTCTGAAAGGATGTGTAGGTGTCAAGAAGCTGTTACTGAGAAAAGTAAATAGACAAAAGCATTTGCATCTCACACAAAGAAGCAGCTGGTGTTATTAGAAGTAGGAGACAAACTGTAAAATGGTTATGTCTTTGAGTAACACTCATAAAAAACTGGCAAAAATAATTGGAAGGAACTGACAGAATCCAACTCTGAACTACTTTGAGTAATTATCATCTCTCTAGTACTCAAATGAAGAAGCTTTAAAGGTGACAAAGCTGGTGAAAAGGATCTGTTGACAACTGTAAACAAGTGATGGGTCTGCTCCTTACCTTTCTTGTACAACACGGCTAAAGTGACTAAAAAAAGAATGAAGAATATTCCAGAAAGTATCGTAACGAATAAGAAGAGTGGAAAAGGGATCTGCTGCTGTTGCTCCTGAGCTTCGCTGAAGTAAATTGAAAGATGCTGCGTTCCATTCTCTCCATGTATCTGGCAGGTGTAGTTGGTGTTGGGCAGATTTGCAGGAATAGTGGACGATGCTCTTGCAAAGCCACTTTGAACAGACACCTGAGAGGCATTCATGTTCCCTAGAATGATCCATGTCACTGTTGGAGGAGGTGTTCCTTTAACATCACACGTAACAAACTGCTCTCCTGATGGAAGTGTTTGTATGTAGATACTGTCTAGTGTTTGCGGCACAGCTGGAAAAAAGTATCTCACTGTTAGTGTTATCCTGTGACCCAATTCTACCATTGTGGACCATCATTAAGTCATTCTTACAAACATCACAGCTGGCATGGGACAACTGTCCAAAATGTTGCAGAGAAAATGCTTACATTTTTAGAAACGATCAAGGTGACACTGAGTGGTCCTTTTTAGACACTCAACAAACTCTCTGTAACATGTCAAAAACATATGAGGGTTAGGATTAGGTTTTGGGTTGAGGTTAAGGTTAGGGTTAAGATTAGAGTTAGGTTTTGGGTGAAGTTGGGTAATGTTAGGTTTTACGTAATGGAAGTAACATAACAATACATCTACCTAATGCATGTAACATCTTAAAGACATTGACTTCAATGTATTCAGATTCTTCACTACTGCTACTTCACTGATTGTTGTTGATGTGTTACTGATAATCTGTTAAGAGTTTAAGAATCATCTACAAAAGACCACTCAAAATAAAGTATAACCACAATCAAAATCTCATATTTTACCTCGGATGTTTAAGATGGTTCCTGTAGTGGTTTCATAGGCATCTTCTTTCTTATCCAACTCAAAACGACAGAAATACTTGTCTCTGTCCATAAACGAGACCGTTTTAATCCTCAATGAGATGTTGTTTCTTCTTGGATTGCCAGATAATGAGTAATGTTCAGTAGACTCTGAGCAGTTGTGTCCACTTTCTGACAGATTTCCTTTGCTCAGACAGCGGAAAATTACTTGCGATTTGGTTCTCCAAATTACTGTTATATTACCCTGGTAGTCTGGATACGGAGTTGTAAAATTGCAAGGGATGATGGCATCTTCACCAATGTCTTGGTCGACAGCTTCAGGTACTGTCATCGACCACTTGTTATCCGCCATGAGACCTAAAGTAAAAAGAATGTTCATGTTAACAAGTAAATTAACACAATGCTCTATAAGAAACAGCAAACAAGGTACTACATTTTCAAACATTAGATGTGGAGAATAAGTTACATATCATACCTGGAGAGCAGAAAGAAAAGAAAAATATTATTTTAGCGAGCTCCATCGTCACTCATGTAATTCACATGTGAAGCATATTGTTCAGCTGTAAAAGTCCCCCAGTCAGGCCCCTCCTCTACTTTGATGCCAAATATAGAGGTCACGTGTTGTGGTCACACTACGTAGTCATTAGTGTAGAAACACCTTCTAACTGATCCCTCCTGCTGGGACCTCTACAATTTGCAAATGTCAGAAAGATGAGATTCAAAAATGATGAATGTTTGATAAGGAAAGTTTAGTAAGTTTTAAAAAAACACTTTGCAAAATAAAAGTACTAATAAGGATTCTTTGGAGTGATAATATAGAAAAAGACTTTTAATGAATGGCTGTTTAATAGGAGTGTAACAGTGCTTTGTGACATTATGAGCATTCATATTAACATGTAATTAAGAACACTGCTGTGTGATCAACTCTTCGTGTAAAATGGGTCATTGTAGAGAAAGTACTGTGTTTTCTTTACAGTGGTGCTAGGAAATAGGAGTTGCAATGTCTACAATACAGCCATGCTGTTCACAATCCAAAACCAAAAATAAATCTAATTGTGTCTTTTGAGTTTTTAAATGTAATGTTACAAATGGCAAAATAAGAGTAAATCGCAAAAACGAGTCTTCTTTAAGGGACAACATTTAGATTGTAAAGATTTAATTATACAGAATATAGATAAACAGTAAGATAAAATATGTATAATCTGTATCAGTATAAATCTGAAGTAGATCTTAAAAAAGTTAAGCGTCCTACATGGAGAGCAACATAAAAAGAAAACTATTTGCTCCATCTTCACTTTGGTCATTTCTTCTAAACATACAACTGATGTTAATAAGCTCTGAATGTAAGATGACCACTAATTCAGGCGCTTCCTTTACTTTAAAGTCAGAATGATGGTCAGGGCTGGTTCTATCCAGCAGCTTCACTCTTACCACCACATTACACAATCATCTCTAATGTTTTCTTTCAAAACTATCAATATTAAGAAGAGAAATTACAATCTACACTTGGCCAACATACAATGACACAAGCAAAGCAACCTTGATGAAGCTTGAGGTATGAAGCTACAGGAAGGTCTGACTCATGTTGTATTTTCTATTTCCTTTGCTGAGTGGTGGAGGCCTCTATTCAAACACACTGCAGTTTGAGTCTCAATGATTCACCAAGCAAATTTTGTACTGTAAAGAATCATCTAGAATTAGAATCACAGTCACTGGGTTTATATAGTAATTTGTTTGCTTGTATATAGTAATGTTACTACTATATACTATATAAATAGTATGTTTGTGTAGTAATGTTTTGCTACAGTATTTCAGTTTGTGGTTAGGGTGTTGCTTGCTGGTTGCTATGTGGTCACTAAGGTGTTTCTTGGCTATTGCTATGCTAGCTCGGGTGGTTGCTAAAGTGTTGCTAGGCCATTACGACTTCATCCCAGGTAGTTGGTGTCATGTTGCTAGCAGGGGTATAAAGAGTACTGAAAATCCTTACTCAAGTACAAGTACTGTTACTGTAGTGATAATTTACTCAAGTACAAGTAAAAGTATGTGCAGACTGCTCAATTAATCATGTAGTTTTAGTGAGAGTCCTGCTGCCCATCAGCTCCCTGGACTCTAGCTTACATTTACAGGTGTGAATCTATACAGACAGTCAACACATTCACAGCCTTCAAACTTTATATATTCACTGATATCTGTTCAGAACATTTCCACCTTTTAAATCAGCAGCAAACATCAGCAACTTACCCAGCTTTGATTTTTACTGTAATATATTTCACTAGTAATTATGCTGATCACTGCATACAGAATCAGACATTATTACTACATTTAACAGTTAAGAGAGGGAGATAGAGAGAGATAGAGAGAGAGAGAGGGCGGGAAGGTGGGGAGGGATCAGATCAGGCCAGCAGACTTCAAGTTTAATAAACAGAAACTTCATAAAAGAAAGAAGAAAACCGTAAACACGGTACCTGTTTAGCTCGGATCAGCTAGCTCGGCTAATGCTGCCTCAGGCTGGACTCGAGTTGTGAGAGCGGATCTAGCAACCTGTTCAGGTAAAGCCAAAGTTTCTTTGAGGAGTCTGATGGATCTGACGCTAACAGAGTTGGCTGTTGGTTAAAACATTTAATAAAGTGACAAACCAGAGAGGGGCTCCAAAAACAGGCCAAGGTCAAACATAGGCGAATGGGTATATACACAGGCGAGACATAGACAAGGTCAAAAAGGCAGGCAAAATGGTCAGAACATGATAGAGTCCAGAGATTTCAGGCAGAAGTGATAATCAAGAAAACCAAAGCAAAGTCACAAACCAGGAAAATCACAGAATAACAAATGGTTTGATAATGAATAGCAGGTTGAAACAATACTTCACAAAGACCTAGTCTAAAAGTCTGGGCTTTATACTAACTCTAAAGGAACAAATAACAAGGGAAACAGGTAAAAGTGATCAGTAATCAGGAGAAGCTGAACATGGATAGGTTCGTTGTACAGAATCTGGAGTTATGTGACCTCCTAGAGGATTCTGGAAGCTGGAGTTCTCAATGGAGTGAGGAGCAGGTGTTTCAGTGGAGCCGGTGAGAGGCATGACAGTACAACCACCTCCCCCATGGAGCCTGCGGCAACCACCAACCATGCAACCAGAGGCACTGGCAGAACAACCCCTGGAGCCGTTGCGGTGCTGGACAGACAAGGTCTCACAGAAAGGATCCCTAGAGGGGGCCCCAGCACTTGCAGGACAGGAACTGGGCACTTCTCTCTTGGGACATCCCCTGGGATGAAGAGCGGCTTTTCAGGGTGCTGGCTGTGTCAGCAAACCTGGGTCCAGGACAGAGATGGGCACCCAACTTCTCTCCTCGGGACCAAAACCTTCCCAGTCAATCAAATACTGCAGAACACCACCACGGCGCCTGGAGTCCAGCACCTGCCAAACAGCACGGACAGAGGTGCCCCCAACCTCCAGAGGTGCATGTGGAGCCTTCCCAAGTAAAACTTTGTCCAATGGTTTGAGAAGAGAAACATGAAAAATTTAGAAACTCTGTACTGGGAAGGCAACTCAAGTTTGTAAGTAACATCGGTTAATTACTTTGAATGGACCAATATACTTGGGTTTTAATTTCCTACTACCCTCCCCAAACCTGAAATCCCTGGTCAACAACCAAACCTGCCCTCCCGGTGATCGTAGTGGGTCTCTCACCGATGGCGATCGGCTTGTTCCTTGTAATGTTGAATAGCCATCTCAATGTTCCCAAATCTCCTCATTCCATTGCATCCACTCATCTATGGCAGGAATGTTTAAGGGATCGCTGTGCAAGGTGTGAGTGGAGGTTGAAAACCTAAAATGCACTGAAATGGCATTAGTCCTGTAGTGGCACTGATAAGGGAGTTCTGGGCCATTTCTGCCCAAATCAGAAATTTCAACCAGTCAGAAGGTTTGTGTTGGCAGAACAGTCTTAGAAATTTTCCTAACTCCTGATTCACCTTCTCACACTGCCCATTAGACTGGGGGTGATAACCAGAGGTTAAACTAATGTTAACCACAAGGTGTTCAAAGAAATCTGACCATACCCTAAAAGTAAATTCCACACCTCTATCAGATAATATGTCTTCAGGAATTCCATAGTGCTGGAAAACGTGTATAGAAAACAAATTCGACTCCTCTGGAAAAACAATCAATTGTAGTCAGTGTTGTAGTGTAACCATCGGAAGGGGGAAGATCAGTAACAAAATCTATAGCAATGTGGGACCAAGTGCGTTTAGGAACTGGTAGGGGCGTGAGTTTCCCTGACGGCAATGTTTTGGGGATTTTAAATTGAGGATAGATGGAACTGGAAACTAGAAACTTATGCACATCTTGATTTAGCATCTCCTACCAGTAACGGCTATGTATGGGCTGTTGTGTACGAACCTCTCCAGGGTGACCGGATAAGAGAGAAGAGTGAGACCAAGTAATGGGGCGATTATGAAATAGTTCAGGCACATATGTCTTGTTGGTGGAGCAATGGTGAGGAACTGTAATGTTTTCTAAAGCTCTGGCAATCTCTTCATCAATTTCCCAATGAATAGATGCAACTTGTACTGAGGGAGGAAGTATATGTTCTGGCTCAGAACTCTCACTAAGCTCATCAATTTCTTTCTGATGGATTCTAAATAGAACATCAGCCTTTGTGTTGTGAGAACCAGGATGGTAGGACATGTTAAAGCAAAATTGAGAGAAAAACAGGGACCAACAGGCTTGTCTCGGATTGAAGCATTTAGCTGTACACACATACTCTAAATTTTTATGTTCAGTTAGTACCAGGAAAGGATGATTAGCACCTTCTAACCAACACCTCCACTCCTCCAATGCCAGTTTGACAGCTAGCAACTCTCTGTCCCCGATATCATAGTTGCATTCAGTGGAAGTAAGCTTGTGCGAGTAGAGGACTAACGGTAACAACTTAGGGGGATTTTCACTGTGTTGTGATAAAACAGTTCCAACACCAGTCTCAGAAGCATCCACCCCAACTACAAAAGGGCGAGATGGATTGGGATGCTTGAGTGTAGGGGCTGATGTAAACACAGACTTATGTTTATTAAAGCCTCCTCAGCTTTAGGGGACCATGCTAATTTATTCACTGCATCCATGAGTAAAGCCATCAGGGGGGCTGCAATGGAGCTGAAGTTGTGAACGAAACGGCGATAAAAATTGGCAAAGCATAGGGACATTTGCAGGATATACAGATAGACATGATAGATGTGAGAGTTGGCCAATTAACCACCGCTTCTACCTTGTTGTCATCCATCACTATGCTATTTTCACTGACTATGTAACCCAAACAGGAAACTTGTGTGAGATTATATTCGCATTTCTCACCTTTGACATAAAGCTGATTTTGGAGAACACGTTGGAGGAGCTGACAGATGTTTTTAACATGTGTGTCAAGATTGGGAGAGTAAATCAATATCATTAATGTAAGCTATTATAATAAGACCAATCATGTCTCTAAGCACATAAATAAATGACTGAAACACTGAAGAAGCGTCGACCAGGCCAAAGAGCATTACCATATACTCAGAGTGCCCACTACTGGTGACAAAGGCA